CAGTCTTTTCAAGACTAGAGCGGGCCAGGTGCAGTAGCTCATGCCTGTAATCCCAACACTTTGGGAGGCCAAGGCAGGAGGATTGCTTGAGCCCAGGAGTTCTAGACCAACTTGGCCAACATGGCAAGACCTCGTCTCTAAAAAAAGTTTTTTAAAAATTAGCTGGATGTGGTGACGTGCACTTGTAGTCCTAGCTACTCAGGAAGCGAAGGTAGAATGATCACTTGAGCCCAGGAATTCAAGGCTGCAGTGAGCCGTGATCATGCCACTGCACTCCAGCCTGGGCGACAGAGTGAGATTCTATCAGAAAAAATAAAAGACTAGAGCAAGACTGAAAAACCCACTCCACGCTCACTCATGTGTTTATGGATGGGCCTCCGTTCCTCATGGGCTCTTGGTCAGAGGTGTTGGATCCTCACCCTGTGGGCCACTGCACAGATGGCCTGAGTTTCCTCATGACCTGCCAAAAGAATGCCCTCAGAGTAAGTGATTGAGGAGAGAGAGAATGCTTCCACAATGGAAGCTGCAAACATTTATCATCTAATTTCGTGAGGACATAACTATCTCTCACTTTTGTAATGTTTTATTAGTCACACAAACTAACTGTGGAAAAATGCAGGAGGGGGCTACACAAAGGTGTGAATACCAACAGGTGAGATCACTGGGGGCCAACGTGAAGGGTGACTGCCACACTCATCAAATAAATAAAATGGTTCTCCCTCTTTTTCCTCTTCATTGAATTGTTAATTTAATATATTCCCTTGCTGCTCTTAGAGCATTGTTTGAAAGTAGTAAGGAAGAATTTTTAGTTTGCTGACTTTTTCCAGGAAAGGATTGAATTACAATATTTTTTAAAATCTTATCTAATCAAGTTGTCTCTTTCCTCTGGAGTCCGCAGAGCAGAGCAATGTGGAGCAAGGCCCTTTGCCTGCTCCTTAGCTCTTAGCAGTCCCAGTTCCTGTTACTCCTGCTCCGTGGAGTCAAGGACACCACCACCCTTGCATGGTATGGCCAATAGTGTGCCATAAATGCTACCCATTATGGTAACGTTCTCATCGTAAAATAGAAGAAATAGTGTCGTGGGAGAGAGAGGAAATTAAAGAGACTCAAAATCACTCCAGTAGGCCACAAGTAGCCCCTATTTTTTGAGAACTTGCTGTGGCCTAGTAACATTGCTATTTATTACACACACAACGCTTCCTCCAATGTTCCAAATGCTGTGAGAAGTTGACTTTTATTGCCACTTCACAGACAAAAGAATTGAAATTTAGGAGATAAAATTCACTTGTCCAAAATCACAGAGCCAGTACTTACAGACTCATGATATAAATTCAAGTCCCCCCAGTCCCTAAGCCTCTTCCTCCCACTATATATCCATAGGAGGAAGGCCTCATAGCTAGATCTTCCCTCATAGCCTCCCACCCCACTCATAACCCCAATGAATCACAGAAGCAGGGTACAAAGAGAAATAGGCTCATTTATTTATTCATTGATCAACTGGCACTTCCTGAAATCCTGCTGTGTGCCAAGCCTTTCCCCAAAGGAGGATATCGGTGGTGGAGCCAAGTCTGGGGGTGGAAAGGACCTGGACCACACAGAGCAGGACTCCAGAGCCTCCTCCAAATCACAGGAATCAAGCTGTGAGAGAAAAGCAGATAAGAGCTTCAGCATAGAAATCAGCCAAATCATATTCACATCCTTCCTTCTGCCCAAGGATCCTCCTGAGATAAAGAAAATAGCAAGATAGTGCTATAGTTGAGAGAGACTTAGTGTCAGGAGACAAGTCTCATTTTCACCGTAAAACTCTAAATTGAAAGCATTGAATTAGATAATCCTCAAACTCCACGGATCGTTTGGGATTTAACCTCAGAAAACATGACGGAAACAACCTGAATAATAAATTCTTAGTGCACATAGTACTTTGCAGAGCACTTTCAATCTCATTATGTCCATTTTACCGATAAAGAAACTGAGACTCAGAAAGTCACTTGCCCAGGACCCCCACCCAGAGACACTAGAATAGAATCAAAGCCACAGGTGATCCTATGGAAATCCTGGCCCTGAGACCTAGAGAACAGTTCTCTTGAAGGACAAGGGAGTCAGACAGAGGCTCTGCTTGGAATAGGGGTCAAGAGTCCCCCTGCCCATATGCCTGGGCCTCCAGAGGGTTGAGGCTGAGATGGAGGGAGTTCAGTGTGCCCTCGGCCCCTGCTTACCTTTCACAGGGGAAACGCAGGATTTCCCACACATGCCCATGCAGCACTTCAAGTCACGCTCGCACTGGCCATCCATCTCACAGTAATTGGGGGGGTTAAGCATCATACATTGGCCATAAGCTGGTGGACAACGCCCAGGCTTCCTCCTCGCTGGGTGAGAGTGAGGCTACCAGTCAGAGGCCTTGTACTTTACACAACCCCTCCTATCTCCACTTTTTAGAGTGAGCCCCTGCTGCAACCTGAGCAGGTCGGATCATCCCCCCCGATCTCTATCACCACCACTTTCTCCGTAAGTCACCCCCCAAACATAGCACCTGGCTGTCCTAGAACATCAGGCCCCCGTTGATGCAGGGGGCCAGTCGTCCAGTGCTGACAAGGTGGGAGGCTTCCAACTACCTGACTATCTAAATGCCCGCTGCTTCACCACCTGCTGGCTACCTTCCTGCTTAGGGCATGTGACTCATTGACTGATTGACAAGGAGGCCTGGCAGGACCCATCACCCAGTGCCATCCCCCTAATGCTGTGTCCTCAGGCTCACTCCTCTCTACCCAGTTCCCCGATCTGCTTACTTGGGCTTGGGGTGTCAACAGGATCCAGGCATTTGATGCCACAAATGTCAGGACAACATCTCTTCTTCCCTAGACACTGCCAGTCACTCTGGCACTGAGGTTTCTCATATCTAAGGCACTTAGCAGATTTCTTAGGAGGACAGACTCCGGCTTTGAAGGCTTTTGAAGAGAAAGTCAAGAGGTCAGGAGTAGGCTGGGCACTGAGAAGTCATCATGCCTGCTGAACAAAGCACCACTTTTGAGGGGGAGAGACCCTTACCTCAGGAGCTATCCACAAAGCCCAAAGGGTCATGCCTGCCTGATCTCCGGGTGGATTGATGGGCTTGATTAAATTGGACAAATGGACAGGGGATGTTTCAGACCCAAGAAAAGGGCAGCAGGCTTCTAGTCAAGACCTCCCACCCCAGAGCAAAACAGGGCTACACAAAGGCAGAGAGGAAGGCTGGGAGTGATGGAGATGGAGACAGATAAACAAAGATAAATAGAACCAGTGTGAGAGAAGTTGAGAGCTAAAGCCCAAGGCAGAAACACAGAGACAAAATAGCAGAAGCGAAGACACAAAGAAGAAGCAGAGTCAGAAACTAATGATTTGAGAGTCGCAGACAGGTGAAGAAGGCAGAGGATAAGAGAGAGAGAGACAGAGAGAGAGAGAGAGTGGGATCTGGGCCGACAGCATGGCTGCATAGAAAAAGCATTTCCAGAAGCTCAGAAACCCTCACAGAAACCTTGGAGCTCAGCCAGACATGTATTCCACTCTCAGGGAGGTCTCCTGAAACTAAGCTGAGAGATCAGAGCCTACAGAAGGGGACACACCCACATCACCAGGAGACCGCACCTCTGACCCTGCAGCCCAGATTAGACCAGAATGACTCCCAACTTACACTTTCCAGAGCCTTCCACAGCCCAAAGTGCCAGGGTTCCCAGGGCAAGAAGCATCATGAAGGGGAAGAGGCCACTGGACTTCATGGTGAAGGCAGGAGTGACTCTGATGGCCAATGCCAAACCTCACTATTTATTCTTTCACCAGTGGGTGTGGCCCAACCAGAATTCTTTTGGCCTCTCCCAGCTACTATTGCATAAGCAGGAAGCTTAGCCAGAGACCAGAAATCCTGGCACCAAGGAGACGGTTTATCTTTCCTATGCCAGGTGAGGCTTTGAGGCCAATACAGTAATTACCAGAAAAGAAAGGGAAGAGGTTGGCCTGAGAGGTTGGCTGATTAAAGAGGCCATCTCAGTGTCCATCTGAGCCCTAAACATCACGAGACCCCAGGCCATTAGCCTTACAGGTGGAGAGGGGAAGAAGTGGTCAATTGCAAAGGTGCTACCTGGACCTGGAACTGAAACCAGATGCAGACCCCCAGCTGAGACTTCGTGCATTACATCCTATTCTCACATTACGAATTCTGATTTTCACATTATTGGACTCTAAGGCATTGTGAAACTCTGCTGAATGCTCAATGCAGTTTCTTTCTCAAAAGTTCAGCTCATTCAACCAACCGATACTTAGTTCCCTGAAATATTTACACCGTTTATCCCCAGTGCCTGTCACAGGAAAAGCATTCACTCAACAAATGAAAGCTGAAGAAGAGCTCTGCTCTCAGCAAATCTCTTCAGAGCTCAGTTTTCTCAGCTGTGAAATGAAATGATACTAACAAGTCAGCCCTTCTCAGAGGGTTATGAAATTAAGGGCATGAAGGGACTCTGAAAAGAATAAATGAATTGTATCCCTTCCCACTAAAGAGAACTGAAATGAATCTGAGATAAAGGGGGAAAGCAGCTCATCAGTCACTGTAATCAACATTTAGCTATGAGATAATTTGAGATCTTAGAGGACTGCTTCCTAAAATTCCCCAAAAACCCTTACAGATCTCACATGACAGCAAAAAATTAAACTCGTTCTATATGCTACCCAATCTGCATAGATTGCTTCTAATTATAAAGAGAGTCATCATTATCTCTAAAATTCAGCCCATAGCTGAGTGTAGGGTCACATACATACAGTCTCAGCTGCTCATGAGGCTGAGGTGTGTGGATTCCTTGAGACTAGGAGTTTGAGACCAGCCCTGGCCAGATATTGAGACCCTATCTCTACAAAAAAAATTTTAAAAATTAGCCAGGCATGATGATGTATGCCTGCAGTCCCAGCTACTTGGGAGGCTGAGCCAGGAGTATGGCTTTAGCCCAGGAGTTTGAGGCTGCAGTGAACCATGATTATGCCACTGCATTCCAGCTTAGGGAACAGAGCTATACTCTGTCTTAAAAAAATAAAATAAAATAAAATAAAATTCAACCAAAGCTCATCTGGCTGCAAACTCTAAGCTCTTGACTCACTATCTTCATGCTTAGAATTCTCCCATTCATTCCTAAAGTGAATGTTTGTGGAACTTTTCACAGACATGAAAGACTCACTCATTATCAAGTAGTGACAGCCCCACATGAAGTATTTAAGTATTCCACAACCAGACAGTCAACTGGCAGCAGATCTGTTTATATGAAAGTCACTCCATGGTTTAAATTTTGGTGGATCAGAAGACTTGGACATAATCAATCAATCATCAATCAAATTTTGGTGGAAAAAGAAAAGGACGAAAATTAATATGCATGAGGTAACTACTATGAACCAGGTACATTCAGTCCTAGTTGGTATTTAGTAGGGCAGGTAAGAGAGAAATGGAGGATATGATTTCCGCCAGTGGGTAATGACACTCTCAAGTCAAGATTTTTGTTCTCACCTGCACTACCCAGGGGACAATTTTATTTCTCTCACATAGTTTCTGTTCTCTCTCTCTCTGTTTGTTCCTATTTTCCTCAGTGCCACACTCAAGAAATTGTCTGGAGTTTTCTAAATATTTGTTTCTTAAAGAATGAAAAGGGGCTGGGCATGGTGGCTTATGCCTGTAATCCTAGCACTTTGGGAAATCAAGGTGGGCAGATCACTTGAGGTCAGGAGTTCGAGAGCAGACTGGCCAACATGGTGAAACCCTATCTCCACTAAAAATACAAAAATTAGCCAGGCATGGTGAAAGGGTGAAACGCACCTGTAACCCCAGCTACTCAGGAGGCTGAGGCAGGAGAATCACTTGAACCCTGGAAGTAGAGGTTGCAGTGAGCCAAGATCGCGCCATTGTACTCTAGCCTGGGCAACAGAATGGGACTCCATCTCAAAAAAAAATTAAATAATTAATTAAAAGGAGAATGCTACAGCTTAAGGTTTTTTTTGTTTTTTTTTTTTTTAATCTCCAATTGGCTGATTGCTTAATGTGTGATTGACCGATTAGAGCCAACTCCTTTCTCATCAGAAAAGTACCCTGTGCCCAATTAGCAATGTCTTCCATGGGTGTCAGAGGAGGATAATAATATATAATCATTATTATCTTTGACATAATTGGTTCTAAATCTTTACATCAGGCCGGGCGCGGTGGCTCACGCCTGTAATCCCAGCACTTTGGGAGGCCGAGGCGGGCGGATCACAAGGTCAGGAGATCGAGACCACGGTGAAACCCCGTCTCTACTAAAAATACAAAAAATTAGCCGGGCGCGGTGGCGGGCGCCTGTAGTCCCAGCTACTCAGGAGGCTGAGGCAGGAGAATGGCGTAAACCCAGGAGGCGGAGCTTGCAGTGAGCTGAGATCGCGCCACTGCACTCCAGCCTGGGCGACAGAGCGAGACTCCGTCTCAAAAAAACAAAACAAAAAACAAACAAACAAACAAACAAAAAAATCTTTACATCATAGAATGTGAAGACTAAAGAGGACTTCAAGCGTTTTCTAGATCAGCAAACTACAGTCCTTGGACCAAATTTCCACCTAGTCACCTGTTTTTATAAAGTTTTATTGGCACATAGCCATACATCCATTAATTTATGTACTGTCTACGGCTATTTTTCCACTACAATGGCAACAGGGACCTAAAATATTTACTGCCAAGCCTAAAATACTTATTGTCTGGTCCTTTACAGAAAATGCTAACTCCTAGACCAAACCCGCAGCTTGCATAAAAGAGACTGAATCCCTTAGAAGAAGATCCAGGCTCAAAGCTGCATAGCGGATTAATGACACACACAAGATTGAGCTTTTCTAAAACAGGTTGCTCACATGCTGATCCCCAGAACCTGTTTGGTGGAGGACACTTCCGCTGCTAACCCAATCTTAACCTGAGATTGACTCATTAAATCTATTTCAAAGCCGGGAGCAGTGGCTCATGCCTGTGATCCCAGAACTTTGGGAAACTGAGGCAGGTGGATCACTTGAGTTTGGGAGTTTGAGAATAGCCTGGCCAACATGGTGAAATCCCATCTCTACTAAAAATACAAAATTTAACTGGGCATGGTGGTGTGTGCCTGTAATACTCAGGAGGCTGAAGCAGGAGAATCACTTCAATCCGGGAGGTAGAGTTGCAGTGAGCTCAGATCACAGTACTGGGCTATGAGAGTGAGACTCCATCTCAAAAAAAAAAATAAAAAAATAAAAATCTATTTCACACACCCTTTATTGTGTTCTACCTAAATCCTACAGATTCCTTCATTCATTTATACAATCCATTCCCACAAAAGTTATTTAACATTTCTTACCGCATGTCAGGTATTGCACTAGGCCTAGGGCTACAGAAAAGAGCACGCACACAGAGTCGACACCACATGGTTTTGAGAACCTGAACTTCAAAGTCAGACTTACAGGTTGGAAGCAAATCACTGAACCTCTTTGAACTTCAGCTACCTCCGCTGTAAAATGAGAGTGTTGCTGCCTCTGGAGTCGTACAGCTGTTGTGAGGAGTATTTGGAAAGCACTCAGCACAATGTCTGGTCCTCTCAGTACAGTACATATTGTTTTTATTACCGGCGTGTCCCTGCACACATTAAGCGCACAGGGAGCTGTCAGTCTTTAACTGAATAGCTTAGTCCTTGGGTCTGGACCCATCTGGCTCTGCCCCATTAAATGTTTGACAAAACGTGGTCTCATTTCTTGACAAAATAGACCTGATTGGACCTATTGGTAAGTAGGTAGATAGATAGATCTTAACTGACAGATAGATATAGATTAGATAGATAGATAGATAGCCAGATAATCAGCTATTGGTTCTCTTTCTCTGGAGAACCCTGGTTGATGGAACCTACTTGCCTCTGCACTTCCCACTGCCATTTATTAAAGTTGGTTACATCATTACTTGTGAGGCTGCATCATCTTTTACGCCTCCTCTGAATATTGGTTTCCAATTATTGTCTCAAATGTTGTTAGTGTGGTCCCTTGTCCCTGACTACCAGGGTGCTGGTGACAGAGGGAACCTGCTAGCTGGTGGGTCCTGCACACACCAAGTAGTGGGACAGGGACCCTGCACACCTCTGAGGGTCTGCACTCTCCCTGTGAGTATCTACATACTTGTGGAGGAGCAACAGTAAATACGTTTTTTAACACCATGGCAGATCTAGAGAGAAACTGCCAAAGAAAATTAAAAAATTAATTTTAGTACCTTTAACACTTTTTTTCCTGTTTTTGAACAAGGGACTCCACATTTTCACTTTGCATTAAGTCTTGTAAATTATGTAGCCGGCCCTGGAGGGGCTCATGGGTGAAGTGAGGGGAGCATCTCATTTATACAAGAAATGTCTCTCCCTAATCCATCATGGCTCAAGACCGACCTGAGAGAGCACAGGACAATCAGAGGCAAAAAAAAAAAAAAAAAAAGACATCAACTGAAAAGGCCCTTTGGAGTTGCACAGAGATGGCCTGGAAAGCCCTGAGGAAGAGACAGGAGCAGCCACAGACTACCAACAGGAGCCATCCAAGGCGGTAGGATGACTGCCCTAGATTCTAGCAATGGGGGAAGGAGTACAGAGTGGGAAGCACCCCCTTGGACTAGAACCCATGCAGTTCTCAGTCCAAGCTGGGATTCTCTGCCCCAGTGACACCATTGATCCTGGCTGGCTTCAGGCACTAGAGGGGAACATAGACAATTTTGAGGAAGATACCCCAAGGCACAAGGCGCCCTGAAGTGTGAGGTGCAGGGAAGGAGCCCCATTGCTCAGGCCTAAGGGAGACGTGTTTTGGGTCTCCCCATTCTGATAGCAGATGCCACCTTCACCCTTAGCTAAAAGTCACTATGTTCTTACCTAAGATTCACTATGTTTCCAAGTCTCAAAACCAAAAAACAACACGGAACAAAAAACTCTTTCGGAATCTGGCAGACGACCAGGTTTTCACAGCTCATTCCTGTGTGAATAAGGCAGCCACTACCTTTCCCTGGGCCTCAGTTCCTCTACCTGTCCCAGGACGGTAACTGTGACTCTAAGAAACAGTTTCATCCTCCTTCCTCTGAGGCCATGAACTCACCCCAAGAGCCTCAGCCAATTTCCTGACTTTCATAGTTGCCTTTATAACTTAGCTTAAAATGTTGTCTTAAACAAAATACATAAAACATTCAATAATGACCAAATGGGAATGGATACACCGAGCCAGGGAGTATGGAGAAGTAACAGGTGTGGTGGGGAGAGTACTGGGGGAAAACTCCGAGCTGGGACAGGAAGAGCAGATGAGAAAGAGATGGCTGCAAGGGAGGTGGGGTCATTTCAATCACCTCTGGAGGTGTCATCCACAGGTGGTGGACATGGTAGCCAGATCTCCCCAGACCTTTCAGAGAAACAGATGGCTTAGCCACTCCTTAGCATTTCCCCACCCAAGAAAGTTTGAATTCTGCAAGGATCGTACTTACTCACCTGCTGCTCATCATAGTCTTAATAAAACCTGGAAATGTGAGCTGTCCTTTCAGGCCCACAAGTGAATGGGTGAGGGGCAGTAAAGCTCTAGACAAGGGTGAAACCTGGACAAGGGTGAAAAACATCCATCCATCAAAGAATTAGCAGGAGAAATTAACCAACAATGGTGGATCTCAAGTGTCTTCCTACTTATTGCCAGGCAAGAGATGGTTGGTGTACAGATCAGGGTTCTGCACTTTATTCATTCAAAAGCTGTGTGTCTGTCTCCCTAGAGGAAGAGATCCAGTTAACCTAAGGTTAAAGAAAGAAAGTCTGTGGTATGTCATGAGGAAATGCTTTAGGGACCTGGTAAAACAAAAAGAAAAACAAGTGCTAGGCATTAAGAACACACACAAAAAATTAGCTGGGCGTGCTGGCGGGCACTTGTAGTCCCAGCTACTCAGGAGGCTGAGGCAGGAGAATGGCATGAACCTGGGAGGCGGAGCTTGCAGGGAGCCAAGATCGCCTCACTGCACTCCAGGCTGGGCGACTGAGCAAGACTCCGTCTCAGAAAAAAAAAAAAAAAAAAGAAGAAAACAGAGAAAAGAAAAGCTGGATTATCAAACTGTAGAACAGAGCTAGAAGCAGCTTGGGAAAAGATTTCCCCAAATCACTGGAATCCATCTCCTTTGGTTTAGCATGTTTTATTACATTTAAGCGTCACACAAAATTTGGTAGATACTAATGTCAAGTCAGTTTACAGATGAGAAAAAATGAGTCTCAGAGAAACTTTCCTGTTGCAGATCAGGAGACGGCAGGATCTTGGATGGACATGGCAGATGATGCCTGGTTGATCATTACTATGGGATGATGCCTGGTTGATCATTACTATGGGATGATGCCTGGTTGATCATTACTATGGGATGATGCCTGGTTGATCATTACTGTGGGAGAGTTTGGCATCGAAGCCTGGGGTCAGTGGAGAGCACCACTTTGAGGACGCCTCTGTGGCCCAAACAGAGCAGAGCGCCAGAAAGATCATGAAAGACTCACACTTGACAGCATCACTTCTGGCCTCTGGGGCCCTGTGGTCAGCTAGAGAGGTATGACGATGACACTGGACTCGGGAGACTGTGCTGGAATTCCAGCTCTGTCCAATTTTGATGTAGAACCTTCCTTTCTCTGGGCCTCAGTTTCCCTATTTGTAAGATCAGCGCATTGGAACAGATGCTGTTTAGAGGCCCCAAGTCTTAGATTCTAGCTGGGTTTTTACCTTATAGAGGACTCTCAGGACCCAGAGAGTTTACCTTCCTGAAGAAAAAGCCTAGGAATAGACAAGAATCATGACCCCGAACTTCACAGTGGTTCAAGCACTTTTATATCCCATTTTAAAGAAAAGGAAATGGAACCTCAGAGAGTAAGCCCACTTGCCCAAGATGACACAGCAAGTCAGAGGTACTGTAAGATTCAAACCCAAGTCTTCAGAATTCAGCCACGTACTGCTTCATTATGGTCCCTCCAAGACGTCTTTAGTCCTAAACCCAGAGTTGGAGGTGCCTAGGATAGTAGCACTGTCCAGATAATCCTGCAGAGGAAAGTTAAAAAATGATCTTAAAGATGCAAGAAGTGAGAGTGCTGAATAAACCAAGAAAAAATAGGTGTTATTTTCAGGTGCAATTTGAGCAAGGTCTCAAACTATAGCTCCCACAAGATTCTCTCCACGACAGTTCTCTTCATGTTGGCTTCATTCTTAGTCAGACTCCCTCTTAGCATTTATAATATGGCTGTAGCATCTCCTCCCATCTTCCCACATTCATGTTTAGTAAGGGCTTTTTCTGGGCAACTCAGCTAACTAGGAGTGGCTAGAATTAAATCTTTAAATCAATGATCGGGACCAGGGAAATGGGATGTACCGATTGGTTTAAGCCAAGGCCACAATACTCATCACCATTGAATGCTCCAAATCCAGTAGAATTTTCAGAGTGGGAGAAGGAATGATTCTCCTGGGGTAAATTAGGATATGGCTACCAGAAGAGGGGCAAAAGGATGCTCAGTGGTAAAAATAGTAGTGAGTGTTCTCTAAAGTCTACCCCTTTTGGTTACTGAAATCTACGTAGCTGTAAATTTTTTCAAATACTTTCTAAACCAACATCTACATAAAATGCACTCAACCTCTCTCCCAAAGAAAGACAACAAAATGTCTCTCTGGGTACTATATTCATCTCCAGTTCTGAAATGTGGGTGAAAGTAGTTCTGTCAGTTAAATTTATAGTCTTTACAGATTAAGTTTAATAAGCTTAAGTAAGTTTAACCACTTCAAATGCACCCAATATAAAATGGTAGAGTGAGGGCAGAATGACTGCAATAAAAAGTCCTATTTGCAAAAGGGAAACATAGGAAGATATATACAAATTGTCACTGGCCCATAATATAGATTGTACATCCTGTAAGACAGGGATGTGGGGACTTCCTACCTAATGTTGGAGTGACTTCCTTATTCAATAAATCCGAAGAATTCAGTTCTGCTGCCTGGGAGCCTCTCCCTTGCCTTCCATGGCTACATCTCAGAGAAGTATTTCAGAGGATGCCCTTTTGTTGGGGAAGGAAGGGCATCTACACCTTTTCAAGAATTCACTTTATACAGGTGCAATAGGACCTGGGGATTGACATGAGCAATCAGTGGCCATTATAAGGCTTGGTTTTCATGTTTAGTTGGCTCCTGGTCCATTTGCTTCAAATAAAAGCATGAACTAGAAATTATTGTCAGAAATCTTGCCGAGTCATGTTTGCCTTTTATTTATTCTGCTTTACTCCAAATATGCAGTTTTAATCTGAAGATGCATGTCTTAATTCTAAAAAAATAAAAAATAAAAAAATTATTTTAAAAAGTCCTTTCTTTATCTCTTTGAATATTACTTCTGTGCCATTCTCTCCACTCCTTTCTGGAATTTCCACTGGATATTTACTAGACTTTCTATTTTTATTATCACTATTTTGCCTTTCTCTTATATTTTTCTCTTCATCTCTCTGTGCTGGGCTCTGGGTGAATTTCTCAGTACTAGCTAACAATTGACCAAGTTTTCTTTCAGCTGTATCCAGTCTAAACTCTGTTTTATCTAATGTTTTTCCAACTTTTATTTTAGGTTCAAGGGTACATGCGCAGCTTGTTAACATGGGTAAATTGCATATTAATATTTGCTGTACAGATAACTTTGTCACCCAGGTAATCAGCATAATACCCAATAGGGACTCTTTCAGTCCTAACCTTCCTCCAACCCTGCACCCTCAAGTAAGCCCCAATGCCTATTGTTCTCTTCTTTGTGTCCACATGTATTCAGTGTTTAGCTCACACTTATAAGTGAGATGATATGATATTCTGTTTTCGGCTTTTCTGGATTTTCTGTTGCTGCTGTAATTCACTTAGGATAATGGCCTCCAGCTCCATCCATGTTGCTGCAAAGGACATTATTTCATTCTTTCTTATGCCTGCATAGTATTCCATGGTATTTATGTACCACAGTTTCTTTATCCAGTCCACCATTGATGGACAGCTAGATTAATTCCATGCCTTTGCTATTTTGAATACTGCTACAATGAATATATGCATGCATGTGTCTTCATGGTAAAACAATTTCTATTCCTTTGGGTATATATCCAGTGATGACATTGCTGGGTCAAATGGTAGTTCTATGTAGTGAGTAATGAATTTTTATTTCAATAATCATTTATTTCCAGGATTTCCACTTGGTTCTTTTTTTTTTTATATGTTCATCTGGTAAATCTAAATAATGTGCAGTTGTCTGCCACCTTTTTACCAAATTAGGCAGGACAACCCTTTGGCCAATTGCTAGGTATCTGCATTCCCTGAAAATTCAGCCTCAATGTTTGTTTTAAAAGAAATAGAGAGAGACTTAGCATCAATAAACAATAAGCACGTAACCATAGCTCTCTTGTTTGATCTTGTTCTTCCTCCTGTGAACATAAATCAAATTATCAATCAGCAATGCCTCTATGTGCGTTTATTTTTAAGGACCTCCTCAATTAGACAGCTAACCAAGGTCAGACCCTACAAAAGAAGACATACAAGTTACAAATCGGTGCAGGCTGGAAAGGAAGGAAATTAGCATGATTTGCAAACCTAGAGTGTGCCTTAAGATTTTCCCATAGAAAGGAGGCAATTATATCTCTATTCTGGTGTCTGTAATCCTAGCACTTTGGGAGGCCAAGGAGGGAGGATTGTTTGAGCCCAGGATTTCAAGACCAGCCTGAGCAAAATAGCGAAACCCCATCTCTAAAGAAAAATAAAAGAAAAAAATCATTTGTGGAGACAGGACAAGAAGAAGCTGAGAAAGGAATAAAAACATGGGAGGGGCCACACGTCCAGTCATCCCTGTTGGTCTAAGAGCAGCAATGCACTTCAAGGGAGAGGCTGGGTGTCCACCTCCTTCTCTTTTACCAAAAGGCTTGAATTCCCTTGGCTCGAATTTTGCCATTTGTCCAGGTTGGATTCTTCTTAGCAATTCTGGAGAGACTGAGAAAGGTGGTTGCCCTCAGAGAAAAAAATCAGTACAAAGAAGAGTTAGAGAACTCAGGGATGGGGAGAGCTGGGATCTGGGGCAACAGCAGCGAATGTCTGAACCAGAAGTAGAAGCCAACAATTGTAATTCAATGGTGGCAGGAGAATTCGAAACCTCCCCGCCCAAGAAATGATTTGTGATAATGTTGGATTGAAGACCAGGATATTTCTCACACCTTTCCCCTCACGGGCTGGCATGTCTCCCCAAAGGAAGACATCCGTTTACTCAATGACCAACAGAAAAGAAGCTGTCACTTGTCACTAAGGAAGTGGTGTGGGCCTTGATAAGACATAAAAAAAGAACACGGCCTCTGTGGTGGTTGAACATGTGTTTGCTTTGTAATTGTTCATTAAATATTACTCTTATTTTATGTGCTTTTCCTAATGCATGTTTTGTTTTACAATTTTAAAGTTTTTGGAGAAAGAATGAGTATTGGAAATTAGGCAATTGTCAGCAATGCTGGAACCTATAGGGGAGGCCAAGAGGAGAAAGAAAAATGACTTATCAAACTCTAGAACAAGGAGGATGCAGACCCCAAGCTCCACAGCCTGGACAAACATCTCCCAAATTATCCTATATCCCTTTGCTTGATCTCAGTGACATTCATTAAAAGATTACAGACTTTGGAATCAGACTGAACAGCTTTTAAATCCTGTCTTTCTTACCTAATAAATATGCTCTCTTTGATCATTCTGATACTTACGGCTAATAATTACTGAGCATCTGTTATGTGCTAGGCACTGTGCTAAAGGCTTTGCATGCTTCTTCACATTTAAACTTTAAGACAATGAATAAAGCAGGTACTACAGTATCCAATTTTACAAACAGGAAAAATAAGGCTCAGAGTCAGACTCCTATACAAGGTGACAGGAGGAAGGAATGCTTTGGGTGAATTTGACAGGGGCTGTCTAAGGAATAAAGCTTCTTACCCAGGCCTGAAGAGCAGCCAAGAGGATTCCCTGTGCCCAAAGCTGGGATAAGGAGAGAGAACCACTGAAGGTCACCTCTGCAGTTCATGCAATCGATGTGCCTGCTGTACAGATGGTGCGTGAGCTCCAGATAGAAGCATCAGTTAGCATAAACTGTCTCTGGTGTCATCTTGATTAAAAATAGGACAATCTCCAATTTTATAAACACATTTTTAAGTTGTATTTTCCACATTAAAGTCAGTAATCCACCTGGAACTTATTTTTGTGAAAGGTTTAAGTAGAGACATTGTTTCATTTTTTTTCCAATATGAAATACCAATTGTTCCCTATATCATTGATTCCCCCTATTGATCATAAAACTGTATTTATTTTGTACCAGTTTTCATATGTGGATGGATGCACTCTGCTAGGTTTTCTTACTCATTTTGCTCGTTCCCAGAACAATACCATACTCTTTTAACTTGCATCTATATTTTTTATAACCTGGTGCTTCACAATAGAAGTCTTTTCTGTTTTACTTATTTAGAATTGTTTTGACTATCCCTGTGCTTTTACTCTACCATATAAACTTTAGGGTCAATTTGACAAGGTCCTTAAATACTCTGTTGAATTTTTACTATGATGGCATCAATGTTATAAATTACCTGGAAGAGCCAAAATATTTACCACAGTAAGTCTTCCCAAGTATAAAAAAAATAAGTATCACTCTGTTTATTCAAGACCTCTTCAAGTCATTTAATAAAATTTTATTTTCATCATATAATTTTTGCAAGTTTTTCCTTGGTTCATTTCCAGGTACTCATAAATGTTATGGCTGTTGTGAATAGTTTACCCATTGAATCTCTTGGATTTCATCCTAAGACAATCATATCATTTGTAAACACTCACAATTTTATCTCTCCCTTTCCAATCCTTACACCTCTTTATTTTTAAGTCCAATTTTATTGCATTGGCCTAAGATCACTAATACGAGATTGACTGAGAATGGAGATGGATAAATTCTGCCCTTGTGACTGTCTTTAAGGATGCCACTTACTTTTTTTTTTGAGACGGAGTCTGGCTCTGTCGCCCAGGCTGGAATGCAATGGCGCAATCTCGGCTCACTGCAAGCTCCGCGTCCTGGATTCACGCCATTCTTCTACCTCAGCCTCCCGAGTAGCTGGGAGTACAGGCGCCCACCACCACGCCCAGCTAATTTGTTTGTATTTTTAGTAGAGATGGGGTTTCACCGTTTTAGCCAGGATGGTCTCGATCTCCTGACCTCGTGATCCGCCCGCCTTGGCCTCCCAAAGTGCTGGGATTACAGGCGTGAGCCACTGCGCCCGGCCAAGGATGCCATCACTGAGTATATTTGCTGCAACAGTTGGTAAATACTCTTTATCAGGTTAGTTATGTTCACTTTTGTTCCTAGTCTAGGGTGTTTCTATTTTTATTGTGCATGAATGTAGAACACAACATAGAATGATTTTTATGAAGCAATTTAGAGATTCATTTGGGTCATCTTTAAACTTTTAATTTGCTTAATCCCCTTGATAGATTTTTCTGTTCTTGAACTACCTTTGCATATCTATTTGTTTATTATATTTATTATAGGGATCCCCTACTATTATAATAAATATCCTAGCATGTATTATACTTGTCACTTTGAAATATTTCAAATGTATGGAAAAAAATGGGAAGAACAGTACAAAGAACTACCATATTCCCTTCACCTAGATTCACTAAATGTTAACATTTTGCCACATTTGTTTTGTCATTCTTTCTCTTCTGTGTGTGTGAGAGAGTAAAATGCTTTATTCCAACCATTGAGAGTAAGCTGTATACATCATGCTCCTCTATCCATGAATATTTCAGTGTGTATTCCCTATGAATAAGGACACTTTTATATAACCACAGTACAGTTATCAACTTCAGAAAATTCAACACTGACAATTCCCTAACATTTAGGATTTTCCCGTGTATTCTCATAAGAAAGAATGTCTAGTTTCTTAAACACTGATTGTGATATCAAACACACAATATCAAAGATAAACACCACAAAGTTTCCACCTGTGCTTTCCCTTTTTTTAGTCTCTGAAATCATTTGGGATAGAAATTTCTTGTAAGTTTAGTAAAAAACGAATACATTTCATAATATTTCCCATTTTAAAATGAGAGATTTAATTATCAAATAAAAGCCTCTAATCTGTTTTCTTTTATAAAAGGAGAAATTTAATGATTAGACATTTATTCAGGTTTTAAATTTCTTCTGAAACCAGAA